CCTCCCCAGCCCTGCCCTAGGGGCCGGCTACGTGACACCCCCTAGAAGGGTGACAAAAAGATGCTGCCGAGGCAGCTAGAGAGGCTCTTGTTTTGAAACATGTGAGTATGTGTTCGCTCACCTCCTGATCTACTGAGCCGACCTGTGACAGTCTCATTGTCACAGGTCGGCTAGAACTATGAGGTGAGTGAAAAGCACTCACCTCATAGTTCTCCTTTAATAAAAGAAACGGTGCAGAAAATATACAGAAAAAGATATTAATGAAGAGAGACAAAATATATAACAACAGTAAAATAAAAGGAGAATACTTAACAGTTCTGACAGAGTCTAGAGTTCAATAAGCAAAAGAGAGGACTGAAGGACTCTCATTCAAACAAGCTTGCACAGATGATGTTCAGATTGTAAAGGGGAACTCTTCTGCGTTGTTAAGACTTTTTGTTGTTGCTGGAGTTCCTTTTCTTAATATCTGTAAAAAATAAGTCAAAGCAACTGGACTTGCTGTATTTTTCTTGAAAGAAAGCTGGTTGGATGAGCAGTGAAATGTCTTTAAGAAAAATACAGCAAGTCCAGTTGCTTTGACTTATTTTTTACAGACCATACTGGGTCGTCCCTCCTGCTCTCCCTCCCCAGCCCTGCCCTAGGGGCCGGCTACGTGACACCCCCTAAAAGGGTGACAAAAAGATGCTGCCGAGGCAGCTAGAGAGGCTCTTGTTTTGAAACATTAAGAAAAGGAGTCTGTGAAGGTTCTCATTCATCCAGGTCATGACATATCTGTAAAAAATAAGTCAAACGGCCATGGACGGAAGGTGGTTAAAGGAGAACTATGAGGTGAGTGCTTTTCACTCACCTCATAGTTCTAGTGAGTTCACAATGAGACTGTCACAGGTCGGCTCAGTAGATCAGGAGGTTAGCGAACACATACCAGCGTTCGTTCACCTCTCGATCCTGTCACGGCTCTCTGCCGTGACAGGGGAGGGGCTGGATTCCCCCCTCCCTGATCCGCCAGCGCCAACTACAGTTTTGCTTGTGTACTTACTCTACAGTTAAAGCATATGTATAGCGAAAACATTTATATTTCTCCTAACATTTTATCTCCATTTTCCATTTGCATACAGTTAGGGAGTTATTCACTAAAGAGCCGAAGGATCCAGCCGTAGCTTCAGCTGATCCTTTGGTTCTCTTCGGCCGCCTCTGCCCTTCAGTTCAGTCGAAGTGTGGAGAAAGGTCGGCCGAAACCGACCGCTCTCCACGAAAGTGACAGCTCGGCAGTTGTAATGACAGATCAGCGTCCTCAAATGACCTGGGGACACTGATCTGTCATTAAGCAATTATTTGTAATTTTTTTTTTCTTTTCTTGAAACTATTTTAATTCTTTTTTAATTTTCCTATTTATTTACATTTTTAAAACTATTTTTCAACCGTTTTTTTTTTTCTCATTCATTGCACTCTTTTTCTATTCTGCGAGGTA